TGACTGCTAGACTCGGGGACACGCCTGGCTCCACAGTGGCCTTCGGCTGCCTGGTCTGGGGCTACATCCCTGAGCCGGTGACGGTGACTTGGAACTCAGGCGCCCTGTCCAGCGGCGTCCACACCTTCCCATCAGTCTTCATGTCCTCGGGGCTCTACTCCCTCAGCAGCTTGGTGACACTGCCCACAAGCAGCTCAACCGGCAAGACCTTCATCTGCAACGTAGCCCACCCGGCCAGCAGCACCAAGGTGGACAAGCGTGTGGGTAAGTGCACAGGCCTCAGGGAGGGCGTCCACTCCCACACAGGACCGAGGTCAGCCCTCCTCCCGGCTCGAACCACATGCCAGTATGGCGACCTCTGTCCAGGGTATCAGAGGAGGAGCGGTCTCCTCGCCTGGAGGCCTCCCAGGCTATGTTAGGGGTCCTCTGGATTTTCCACCAGGTTCAAGGTGGGCACAGGCTGCACAACGCTACCGCACATAGCTGGTGCTGGACCTGCCAAAATCTGTCCCTGCCCTATGCCCGCCCCAACAGGCCTGCCTCCTCACCAAGAAACCTCCTGTCTGCTTTCTTTGCAGAACCACATGGAGGATGCACGTGTCCCCAATGTCCAGGTGAGTCAGACAAGCCACTCCCTCTTTAACAAGGAGGTGGCCACAGCCCTGGTATGCTGGGAATGCATGTGCCCTGGACAAGGCTGGCCCAGGTGCTAACTGCCCACCCTGTCTTCCTTGCCAGCCCCTGAGCTCCCAGGAGGGCCCTCTGTCTTTGTCTTCCCCCCGAAACCCAAGGACGTCCTCTCCATTTCTGGGAGGCCCGAGGTCACGTGCGTTGTAGTGGACGTCGGAAAGGAAGACCCCGAGGTCAATTTCAACTGGTATATTGATGGCGTTGAGGTGCGAACGGCCAATACGAAGCCAAAAGAGGAACAGTTCAACAGCACGTACCGCGTGGTCAGCGTCCTGCCCATCCAGCACCAGGACTGGCTGACGGGGAAGGAATTCAAGTGCAAGGTCAACAACAAAGCTCTCCCGGCCCCCATCGAGAGGACCATCTCCAAGGCCAAAGGTGGGATGGACAACGGGCGCGGGAGAGTCCTGTGGGGCTGCTCGGAGTGACCATCGTGCTCACAGACACACCTGTCCCCACAGGGCAGACCCGGGAGCCGCAGGTGTACACCCTGGCCCCACACCGGGAAGAGCTGGCCAAGGACACCGTGAGCGTAACATGCCTGGTCAAAGGCTTCTACCCAGCTGACATCAACGTTGAGTGGCAGAGGAACGGTCAGCCGGAGTCAGAGGGCACCTACGCCAACACGCCGCCACAGCTGGACAACGACGGGACCTACTTCCTCTACAGCAAGCTCTCGGTGGGAAAGAACACGTGGCAGCGGGGAGAAACCTTAACCTGTGTGGTGATGCATGAGGCCCTGCACAACCACTACACCCAGAAATCCATCTCCCAGTCTCCGGGTAAATGAGCCTCACCCCGGCACCCCAGCGAACCCCCCTCCCCGAGGCTCCCAGGGTCCCGAGTGGACGCCTGAGCCCCACCCCTGTGTACATACCTCCCAGGCCAGCATGAAATAAAACACCCAGGGCCTCCCTGGGGCCCTGCAGCACTGTCACGGTTCTTTCCGAGCAGAGCTCCGGCGCCCGCCGGGCCTGCGGGAGGCGGGGGCAGCCCAGGCTCTGAGGACAACCTTGGTGCCATCAGGGGACTGGGGATGACCAGAGGCAAGGGATGGGGTCTGCCAGAGGCAGCAGCTCCCTAGGGTCCAGTGTCGAGCCAGCACCTGCTCAGGCTGGAGTGTGCAGAGGACACTGGTAGAGCCTCCCAGGGACCCTCACGGAAATGAATACATAGTTCTTCCCACCTCTGTCCAAGCCCAACTGTGGGACAGTGGCAGGTCCTTATCCCCGCAGTTCCCGACCCCGGGGCCTCAAAGGCCCACGTGCTGACACCCTGTCAACATGGGATCCACGCCAGGCCAGCAATGGGGGCACAGGCCTCCTGCTCGCAGGACGCACGGGGATCAGGCCCCACATTCCCGCAGGCAAGGTTCTCGGGCCAGAACGGTACACTCGAGGGGACATTCACCTAGACCCATAGGAAACAAGCCTTCTCATGGAGCACAACAGCCTGCACACCCCTCGTCCTCCTGCATACTCACGCACACTCATTTCCTGTGCAACTGCACAAAGCGCTGAACCACAAAAGTGCACACAGGCCAGCCTTGCTCACTGGGTCCTCAACGGGGTACCCGCCCGGGGCCAGACCGGAGCCTGCAGCCGGGTCTCATGAACCCTCTGTGGACAACAGCTTGGTCCCCACTCCTCAAAGCCCCAGCAGCACAGACCACACTCTGACCACACTGGTCAGCTCAGACCCCCACCCCTCCTCTCCCCAGAACACCTGCACCCCCTCCTCAACACACAGAGACCCAACACCCCACTGGTCCCTAGCACGCCGACCCCACCCCCTTGGGCACACAAGGACACCCCAAGGTTGCCTCCGCCCTTCCCTGCAGTAGGACCCACCACAGCCCTGCTCTGCAGACCCTGCCTTCTAGGCCTGGCCTCCAGTGGGAGGGAAGGCAGGGGTCAGGGCACCCTCCCCGCAGAGGACCCCATGAAAGGCACAGCAGAGGAGAGGATAGGGGCCCCCACTGACCAGGCCGAGATCTGGGCCCAAGGAGTCCGGCCAAGACTGAGGCCCAAGCTGGAGGAATGGGGGACACGAGGTCGCTGCCCAGGGACTGACCTAAGGGAACCATTGATCCAGCCCCCCAGGGGGATCCTAGTGCCCCACCCGCCCTGTCACAGAGGGACCCACCCCAGGCGCCACTGACCCTGCCCTGGCACGTGACGGGCAGCCACAGAGCTGAACACCCCCTCCCTGTCCAGAGCCACTCCTGGAGGAGGAGAGCTGTGCCGAGGCCCAGAGCGGGGAGCTGGACGGGCTGTGGACCACCATCTCCATCTTCATCACCCTCTTCCTGCTCAGCGTGT